TTTCGTTTTCCTAATCAAACATGGGGGGAAAAATGCAAAAAAATATTTTTTTGTATGCCCTTACTCTATATATTGCAAATTTTATGACCCTTTTGGTTTAGCGTTTTTTTTTTATGATGATAAAATTTTACTCTTCATTCACTTAAAAAAAGGTTTTATTGCATGAGAAAAAGGGGGGGTTGTGTTTTTCTGTTAACCTTGTACAATTGTTTCACCCTTTTAAAAGTATTTGTATTGGGGAGGTTTTTTATTATTTAAAAAAAAAAAAAACATTGTGAGGTAAAAATTTTACCCAATTTTACAAAAGTACGTGAAAGAACTAAAAAAGGAAAACACCTTAATATGCAAAATTTAAATTCCCCCTGACAAAATGATCGTCCACTACCCGTTTTTGTTTTCCTTCTTAAAATTTTCTGAAAACCCCTATCCCCGTTCTCTCTCTCCTTTACTCTTCGTTAAAAAAATTGGTCTAAATTTGGCCCATGGGTTTTAAGCTTAGATGTGGAAAAAAAAAGGGGGTCGTAAACCTCTTGCTTTAAGTGCCAAGTTAGAGGACGGGTGGGGGTGCCCTTCTGATTTTATTCAAAAAAACACCCTGCCAAACACCCTCTCACACATTAATACAAAATGTATTAAAATTTTTTAAAGGGAAAGTAATAATGTATTTGTTTATCTTACCTTTTTATTTGTTTTTTAAAGCCTATTTTTAATTTTTAATTTTATATAAGTTTGGTTTTAACCTTTTACTTAAGGGAAAACGTAATGACACGATTGAAATTTTTAAAAAAAAAAAACCCGGCCGGGGTTGAACCCGCGGGGCATAGGTCTCAAAAAATCCGCCGTGCGGGTTGCCCCTTTGACCAAATAGCCACATAAGGAAATTTTTTTCCCAAATAGGTTTTTTTACACCATAGGAAAGTTAGCACAGGCACCCCCTGTTGGACCACAAATGCAAGTTTTTACAGACGAATCTCCAGCTAGCGTGGCCGTGACGAACTCTAGCTCAAGCTAGAGTTCGTCACGGCCACGCTAGCTGGAGATTCGTCTGTAAAAACTTGCATTTGTGGTCACAGAGGTGCCTGTGCTAACTTTCCTATGGTGTAGAAATATACCTAGTTGGATGAATCTTATGTGGCTAGCTGGTCTAGTGGCTAGCGCGACGGGCTGGAGTTTTGAGACTCTATGACCGCGGGTTCAATCCCGGCCGGGGGTATGGTTTAAGTTAGTGTAAACTTGTTGTCTGGCATTTATTGCATATTTTATATGTGCTCCGATAATAATACTTGTGGACTTGTGTGGTAGCCAGGCGGAGGGACAACATTACATTTTCTCTGGTCAGGCACCAGAGAAAACGTGTATCAATCTGCGTTTGGCCCAGCCACTCCCCCACTCCCCTTTTGTTTACAATTTTCAGCATGAATCATTCTTTACTTCTCCCTTTGTTTATGATGGCATCTAAAGGTAGTTGTTAGAAACTATCAAATTCAGTGAACAAGGTATATCAATGCTAATAAGGTTCTGGGCCACAGTGTAGGTAGCCACTGCAATAGGCTCACTTGCCCATGCAAGGCAGTTCCATGTCACCCTTCCCCCCCCGGCTTAGACCAATGACCCACCTAGTCAGGTCACATTCACTGAAGGAAGGAGCATGACATCAGACCTAGTAGCACAAGATAGTCAGGTCCAACTCACACCCACACACACTCACTCATGTAATTATCTACCCTATTTTTACTTTCCTCTTGAAAGGGGAGCGTTAATGCGACATGGCATCAGTGAATCCCTGGTGTTTGCCATTCTATTTGCTGTAGCTGGCACCCAGTTGAACTGGTGCTCCCACAAGGTACTAAGTGGTCCCAGATTTTTTTAATACTGCACACACTGAGTGCATAGACCCATTCTTTCATGTCTTGGTGACTTAAGCCTATTGCGCCAAATTTGAAGGAATGAAAAATAAAACGTAGATCTACGTTCGGAGCGCTACGCGTACAAACGTAGGTCTACGTTTGGACAGTATAAGGGTTAAAGGAGGGGTTTGGGATATTGGCAGTTTGGAGGGATATGTTATATATCTTTATGTATGCTTCTAAACTGCTGTATCTGGGTGTCTCTGCAAAAACAGTGATTATGTGTGAATGTGATGAAAGTGTTGAATGATGATGAAAGTATTTTTTTGGGAGGGATTTTCTTTCTTTTTGGGTCACCCTGCCTCAGTGGGAGACGGCCGACTTGTTAAAAAAAAAAAAATGTAGACAATAGTATGTGACTAAGGTAGGTGAAAAATGTTCATCTGTCAACATTTGTGCGGTTATTGTGCAGCATACAATGAGTGAATATATGTATGTATATACAATATGCCTTACATTGGTCTCACAGGCCATAAAAATTACTTGAAAAAAAAATGTTAAAAAGAAAAAATAAATGAATGGAGTGAATGGAGACAAATGGTTTTTAATACTTGACGTGCTGTTGGAGTGTGAGCAAAGTAACATTTATGAAGGGATTCAGGGAAACCGGCAGGCCGGACTTGAGTCCTGGAGATGGGAAGTACAGTGCCTGCACTCTGAAGGAGAGGTGTTAATGTTGCAGTTTAAAAACTGTAGCGTAAAGCACCCTTCTGGCAAGACAGTGATGGAGTGAATGATGGTGAAAGTTTTTCTTTTTCGGGCCACCCTGCCTTGGTGGGAATCGGCCAGTGTGATAATAAAAAAAATAAAAAAAAAAATAAAACAGAAAAAAAAAAAAAACTATTACCATGAGACCAGCACTTGGCATAAGAGGTCCACTTTCTGTCAACTTCACGCCTCCATATCTCGGTAAGATATCATTTCATAAGAAAAAATAATTTTTTTTTTTTTGAATATTTTTCAACCCTGAGAATGAGTTTAGGAGAGGGCCTCTCGACCCTCAAAGGGTTAAAGAGGCTAACGAGAGTGTCCTGTCTTTTATGACACACTGTACACTTATTAATGTATGCACTTCTATTAATATTTTTTAACATAAATGTATGAAACTGAACTGTTAGTTAGTTTAATGTTTATTACTGAACTGGAAACTATTAAAAATTTACTTTAACCCTTTCAGTGTCAAGACCCCAGCTCCCAAACTTGCTCTCAGGGTTTAAGAATTTAAAAAAAAAAAAAAAAATTATCTTACTAAATGATACAGAATTTTTTTTTTGAAGGTAATGAAACCAAAAGTATAAAATTTGATGGATAGCTTATGGAATTATGCTCTCACAAAGTTAGCAGTATCAGCGATATTTTACGCAATGGCAATTTGGCCCACTCTGCACTCTACTTTTGGCTAATTACATTGTTCCAGTCCACCAAACTCAGTTATTTCCGCTAGTATTCCTTCTATTCTATCAACTGAGGACAAGAAACAGCCCATTTACCTATTTTAACTACCCAATAAAGTGATCAGAAATTGGTAATTTGGCCAATTTCATACAAAATTCAACAAATACCAATTTGAAAATAGGCCCCTCGTATATTATGCTTGCTTTTCATTTTGATTTTTTATTCACACAAAAAATAGAAGATTTACTGTTATGCAGACTACTGCATTATTGTTACAATTGTATAAATAATGTCACCACATTCCTGAATGCATATCAGATTGGCCAGTTAGATATGTATTGGACAAGTGACATCATTTGTGTACTCTGGAATATCGGCAAAAATCAAACGATTCCACTACTTTGAGCTTAATTTCAAGCTACTTTCAGTGCTGAAACTAAATGAAATCATCTCTTTCTGTAATATATCGTCCAATGTATCAAATGAGACCAAGAAACTGAGAATATAACCATAAAAACCACACAAAAATACACCACAAAATAGCTATTTTAAACAAAAACAAGGTCACAGTGCTTTTCTCATTATGCACTGCATGCTGCAGGATTTTTTTGTTTGATGCATACTTCACAGACCCATTCTCTCATATCTAGGCCCAAATTTACCACTCACAGCTTATCTGAGTGAGCTGACCTCATGGCATCATACTACGGGACCGTGCCAACACTGCTTCAAAGCAGTGATATGATGGGACTGACACTGAAAGGGTTAAAAACTTCAATTTCAGATAAGCATGTGGAACAAGGCATCACACCCAAAAATGCAACTATAATAGTCTACATTTCTTGACAACATTGAATAAACAAATAGAAATTATCCACACCTACACCAAACCACCATACATACAAGATAACTACATTTTGTTAAGTAACAACTAAGAAAAAACAATAATAAATTCGTGGAACAAGGTTGGCAGCGAGCGCTATGGCTTACATCTCTGAATCAAGGTAATCGGCATGACTGACACACTTCATTCTACCAAATGCAACATTAATCATTATCAATCTCTTGCATTATCATAAAATTGTACAGACAGTTTATTAGTGTGGTGGACTGATGAAGTGATTATACGAGGTTCCTTCATTTCTGATGAAGCCAAAGACTGGGTTGCAGCAGACTCCAAACAGGGATTGGGGAAACACTGCCACCAAGTCTTTTACTCTCTCCCACATTGAACACACATTTGCCACTCCCTCTTATTCTTCACCCTACATCCATAACACTACCATTCACCTGAGCACATCATCTCTGCACCTGAAGATGGTGTTGTATAGTCAACTTTTTTGACTATCCAACCCAACACAGGTCTTGCTGGAGTCAGACAGTTGGGTAATCACTGTAATTCCACTATACTGCAATATCATATAATCTAAAAATTAACATTCATAAAAGCTCTTTTCTTAAGTCTTGTAATGCAAGTATTGAAGATTCAAATACATAGTCAAAATATACAGAACTGAAAATGAATCGAGGGTTTCAGCCATTCTCATCTGTTCAATGTACACAGCGTAAAAAAAAAAATACAGATGAAAAAATAGTTTCAGCAACAGGTATCTGATACACAGGAGTGAGAAGAGAGGAGAGATCAAGAAGAAATTATAAATAATTAATACTGAATAAAAATAGTAATTAAAACATCACCTTCCATAACTGGTGAATATTTCCATGAGTTACTTTAATAAAGGTTGTGAAGCGCTCATGGTTGATCCAATCCATCAAGGAAGCATTGAGGAGGTTTTTGTCATTTTCTAGCTCGCTTTTATCTGGTACTAGAAAAAAATATAGGTTAATATTGAATTCTAAAAAAAAATATAAAATAAATTTTAATCTCTGACATAAGCCAAATATCTGGAAAAACAGATACGGTAAAGGAAAAATAAAAAATACGGGTATTTATAGTTTATTTTGTCACATATCTCATTAATAAAGCTTAAACCTTTAAAAATTATGAATATTTTGTCTCCACAGACTGAATAAACCTTACCTGGAAAAAAGAACTGCATTTCATCCTTGAATACCATAACAGCAGGATTGTATTCAAGTTTGACATGCTGAAATGAAGACCAATATTAATTTGATTTGATTTTTGTATTATGGTACAGTTCTAATTAACTTATAAAGCTGTATAGTGATTTACAATATAAAAAGAACATGCTTGTGCACCTCAAACATTTATTTGGTATTACAGATATTCATAATATCATCAGTTTTTTTTTTTTTTTTGTAGGTAGTAGGTTGGTAGACAGCAACCACCCAGGGAAGTACTACCGTCCTGCCAGATGACTGTGAAACAGAAACTTGTAACTGTTTTGCATGATGGTAGGATTGCTGGTTTCTTTTTCCGTCTCATAAACAAGCTAGATAACAGGGATATCTTGCTACTCCTACTTACACTTTGGTCACACTTCACAGACACGCACATGCATATATATATACATACAACTAGGTTTTCTCCTTTTTCTAAATAGCTCTTGTTCTTCTTTATTTCTTCTATTGTCCATGGGAAGTGGAAAAGAATCTTTCCTATGTAAGCCATGCGTGTCGTAAGAGGCAACTGAAATGTCGGGAGCAAGGGGCTAGTAACCCCTTCTCCTGTATATATTACTAAATTTGAAAGGAGAAACTTTCATTTTTCCTTTTATGTCACCCCACCTCGGTGGGATTCGGCTGGTACGTTGAAAGAAGAAGAAGAACTAGGTTTTTCTCCTTTTTCTAAATAGCTCTTGTTCTTCTTTATTTCTTCTATTGTCCATGGGAAGTGGAAAAGAATCTTTCCTATGTAAGCCATGCGTGTCGTATGAGGCGACTAAAATGCCAGAAGCAATGGGCTAGTAACCCCTTCTCCTATAGACATTTACTAAAAAATAGAAGAAGAAAAACTTTATAAAACTGGGATGCTTGAATGTGCGTGGATGTAGTGCGGATGACAAGAAACAGATGATTGCTGATGTTATGAATGAAAAGAAGTTGGATGTCCTGGCCCTAAGCGAAACAAAGCTGAAGGGGGTAGGGGAGTTTCGGTGGGGGGAAATAAATGGGATTAAATCTGGAGTATCTGAGAGAGTTAGAGCAAAGGAAGGGGTAGCAGTAATATTGAAGGATCAGTTATGGAAGGAGAAAAGAGAATATGAATGTGTAAATTCAAGAATTATGTGGATTAAAGTAAAGGTTGGATGCAAAAGTGGGTCATAATAAGCGTGTATGCACCTGGAGAAGAGAGGAATGTAGAGGAGAGAGAGAGATTTTGGGAGATGTTAAGTGAATGTATAGGAGCCTTTGAACCAAGTGAGAGAGTAATTGTGGTAGGGGACCTGAATGCTAAAGTAGGAGAAACTTTTAGAGAGGGTGTGGTAGGTAAGTTTGGGATGCCAGGTGTAAATGATAATGGGAGCCTTTGATTGAACTCTGTATAGAAAGGAGATTAGTTATAGGTAATACATATTTTAAGAAAAAGAGGATAAATAAGTATACAAGATATGATGAAGGGCAAAATGACAGTAGTTTGTTGGATTATGTATTGGTAGATAAAAGACTGTTGAGTAGACTTCAGGATGTACATGTTTACAGAGGGGCCACAGATATATCAGATCACTTTCTAGTCGTAGCTACACTGAAAGTAAAAGGTAGATGGGATACAAGGAGAATAGAAGCATCAGGGAAAGAGAGAGGTGAAGGTTTATAAACTAAAAGAGGAGGCAGTTAGGGTAAGATATAAACAGCTATTGGAGGATAGATGGGCTAATGAGAGCATAGGCAATGGGGTCGAAGAGGTATGGGGTAGGTTTAAAAATGTAGTGTTAGAGTTTTCAGCAGAAGTTTGTGGTTACAGGAAAGTGGGTGCAGGAGGGAAGAGGAGCGATTGGTGGAATGATGATGTAAAGACAGTAGTAAGGGAGAAAAAGTTAGCATATGAGAAGTTTTTACAAAGTAGAAGTGATGCAAGGAGGGAAGAGTATATGGAGAAAAGAGAGAGGTTAAGAGAGTGGTGAAGCAATGTAAAAAGAGAGCAAATGAGAGAGTGGGTGAGATGTTATCAACAAATTTTGTTGAAAATAAGAAAAGTTTTGGAGTGAGATTAACAAGTTAAGGAAGCCTAGAGAACAAATGGATTTGTCAGTTAAAAATAGGAGAGGAGAGTTATTAAATGGAGAGTTAGAGGTATTGGGAAGATGGAGGGAATATTTTGAGGAATTGTTAAATGTTGATAAAGATAGGGAAGCTGTGATTTCGTGTATGGGGCAAGGAGGAATAACATTTTGGGGGTTTGAGGAAGGCCAGTTGTGAGTGGGGGGGAAGTTCGTGAGGCAGTAGGTAAAAATGAAGGGGGTAGGCACCCGGGGGGTTTGAGGGGATAAAGTAGAAATGTTAAAAGCAGGTGGGGATATGTTTTGGAGGGTTGGAGCACTTATTTAATAAATGTAGGGAAAGAGGGTAAGGTAATGGGGATTGGCAGAGGCATGCATAGTTCCTTTGTTAAAAGCAAAGGGGACAAAAGAGAGTGAAAAAATTTGGGGGGTAAGTCTTTTGGGGGGGAGTTCCCGGGTAAAGTGTTGGTAGGTTATTTTGAAAGAATTTAAAGAGTAAGACGGAATGGATAGGATGAAAAAGGAGGCTTTGGGAAAAGGTGGGGGAGTGTGGACCAGGTTTTTTACAGTAAAAACATATAAGTGAACAGTTTTTAGATAAGGTAATGGGGTTTTTGTGGTTTAGGGATTTGGAAAAGGCGTATGACAGGGTGGATAGGGGGCAATGGGCGATGTTGCAGGTGTAGGTGTAGGGGGTTGGTTACTAAAAGCAGTGAAGAGTTTTTACGAGGATAGTGGGTAAGTTAGGTATGTAGGAAAAGGGGAAAATTTATTCCCGTAAAGTGGGCCCTTAGACAAGGATGTGTGATGTCACGTGGTTTTTTAAATTATTTTAGAGGGGTTTAAGAGAAGAAAAATGCGGGGGGGTCTTGGCAAGAGGCGGGGTTTAAAAAGAAAAAGAATCACAAAAAAAGTGGGGTTGCACAGTTGCTCTTTGCTGATGACACGGTGCTTTGGGGAGATTCTGAAGAAAAGCTGCGAGATTGGTTTTTAAAAATTTGGTAGGGTGTGCAAAAGAAAAAAATTAAAAGGGAATAAGGAAAGGTAAGGGGTATGAGGATAACAAAAGATTAGGTGTGAAAGATTGGAAATCGTTTGGAGGGAGGGTATGAAGGAGGGAAATGTATTCAAAATTTTTGGGGAGTGGACGTGTCAGCGGATGGGTCTATGAAAGTGAGGTAAATATAGTTGAGAGGGGAAAAGGGTGAGTGGTGCATTAGGAGTCTGTGGAGACAAAGAACTTTGTCCTTTGGAGGAAAGAGGGGAATGTATGAGAGTATAGTTTTCCCAACGTCTTATAGGGGTGTGAAGAGGGTGATGAAAGTTGCAGCGAGGAGAAGGGTGGAGGAGTGGGATGTCATGTCTGAGGGCAATGTGTGGTGTGACTAAAGGAGAATTCGTGTTTGGAAGTTGGAGGAGGGGCGGGGTTACCAAAACGTTGTCCAGAGGGCTGAGGAAGGGTTGCTGAGGTGGTTTGGGAAAGTAGAAGAATGGAGCAAAAAGGTGACTTTAAGGTGTTCAGTCTGTAGGGAAGGAAGGCGGGGTAGGGGTCGGCCCAGGAAAAGGGTTGGAGGGGGGGGGTCCTGGGCTGGGGGTTTATGGGAGAGTTTGGGGGTCAACGCCCCGCGGCCGGTCTGTGACCCGGCCCCCTGGTGGGTCGGGCCCGATCAACCCGGCTGTTTTCTGCTGGCTGCACGCAAAAACCAAAAGTACGAGCCACAGCCGGCTGATCAGGAACTGCTTTAGGTCTTGTCCAGTCCCAGTTGAAGACGCCAGGGTCTGTTGGTAACCCCCCTTATGTGTGCTGGGAGGCAGTTGAACAGTCTCGGGCCCCTGACACTTATTGTATGGTCTCTTAACGTGCTTAGTGACATCCCTGCTTTTCATTGGGGGGATGGTGCATCGTCTGCCAAGTCTTTTGCTTTCGTAGTGAGTGATTTTCGTGTGCAAGTTCGGTACTAGTCCCTCTAGGATTTTCCAGGTGTATATAATCATGTATCTCTCCCTCCTGCGTTCCAGGGAATACAGGTTTAGAAACCTCAAGCGCTCCAGTAATTGAGGTGTTTTATCTCCGTTATGCGCGCCGTGAAAGTTCTCTGTACATTTTCTAGGTCGGCAATTTCACCTGCCTTGAAAGGTGCTGTTAGAGTGCAGCAATATTCCAGCCTAGATAGAACAAGTGACCTGAAGAGTGTCATCATGGGCTTGGCCTCCCTAGTTTTGAAGGTTCTCATTATCCATCCTGTCATTTTTCTAGCAGATGCGATTGATACAATGTTATGGTCCTTGAAGGTGAGATCCTCCGACATAATCACTCCCAGGTCTTTGATGTTGGTGTTTCGCTCTATTTCGTGGCCAGAATTTGTTTTGTACTCTGATGAAGATTTAATTTCCTCTGTTTACCATATCTGAGTAATTGAAATTTCTCATCGTTGAACTTCATATTGTTTTCTGCAGCCCACTGAAAGATTTGGTTGATGTCTGCCTGGAGCCTTGCAGTGTCTGCAATGGAAGACACTGTCATGCAGATTCGGGTGTCATCTGCAAAGGAAGACACAGTGCTGTGGCTGACATCCTTGTCTATGTCGGATATGAGGATGAGGAACAAGATGGGAGCTAGTACTGTGCCTTGTGGAACAGAGCTTTTCACCGTAGCTGCCTCGGACTTTACTCTGTTGACGACTACTCTCTGTGTTCTGTTAGGAGGAAATTATAGATCCATCGACCGACTTTTCCTGTTATTCCTTTAGCGCGCATTTTGTGCGCTATTACGCCATGGTCACACTGTCGAAGGCTTTTGCAAAGTCTGTATATATTACATCTGCATTCTTTTTGTCTTCTAGTGCATTTAGGACCTTGTCGTAGTGATCCAGTAGCTGAGACAGACAGGAGCGACCTGTTCTAAACCCATGTTGCCCTGGTTTGTGTAACTGATGGGTTTCTAGATGGGTGGTGATCTTGCTTCTTAGGACCCTTTCAAAGATTTTTATGATATGGGATGTTAGTGCTATTGG